AATAGAACGTAAAAGACGTAGATTTAGTGACTGTAAATAACTGTTACTACTATTTTTTCCAAAAAAAATTTTCAAAAAAAATTGTAAATTGTTTCAAATTTTGTTGCTATATTTTTGTTTGTTGATGATCTGCTTGTCTGTAAAATATTATTATATTTGTTACATTTTTTAATGTTTACACTTTTTTCTGTAAAACCCTTTGTAAAACAGATATTCAAAAATTGATAACTTTTTATCTAAATTGTGAATCGATTTGAAATTTTGCCCCGAACTTTGAAAGAGAATACACAATATGATATTAAATTTTCGTCAACTTCGTTACATTTTAATTAACTCTTTAGAACACCCTTAAAAATATTGCGAAAAATGTTTTTTATGTCGTTAATTGTTTATGTTGAGAAATAAGAATTTGAAAGGTTATAAATTTGTAACATTATCATTTTACCAGCGATTACTGATAATAGGCAGCTCGAGAAGCATCCTCAAATAAATCGCCCGATAAAATGGCATTAATTTTCCAACAGTAACGTTGCACGTATTGGCGTAATTATTTGATTCAATAATTATACCGCGCTGCGAAATGGCAATGCAATTAGCGTGGCGTATAAATCGCGTAATTAGTTAAAACAAAGATCGGTCTCATCATCAGTTCCGCAGCCAATGTTTGTCCGGTTAGCTTTTATTAAAGCGCCGGGCTGTCTGCACAATTGTACAGGGCACGTTGCACGTTAATGTGACTTGCATCTCACACGTGTTCGAAGACCCAGCGCATTTCCGGTCACGAGTGACTCACGCATGTGCTTGAAAAAGTTCCATACATTTCAACCAATTCAATAAAAAGAAGTAATAATTAGAAATTGCTTTTAATAAAAAGCTGTTACAACTTAAGCTTTTTGTACACTACATAGTCATATAAATAAAGAAATATGCAAATGTTATACACATAAAAAATTTTCATATTAAAAATCACGTATTTGCGTCGCAATATTTTAATCTTTTCGCAAGTATTCCTACTTTCTCTTTCATCTGAATGCAAATTGCAATTAATTTAGAAAAATCGTAAAATCTGTGGAACTTTAATGAAGTAATGAAGTATTTTTAATGCTAAAGTAATTTTTAATTCATAAAACTAAGGAGAGGAGAGTAAAAGATGTAGCAAACAATGGCTGAACGCAAACTGGAGCTGTTTGTACGCGGAATATCCCTGTCGGAAATCGGATTTATATGAGTAAATGAACACTATTATCATTCCGCGATAGCGAGGCGATACCTTGACATTTGACATATACGTATTTACAAAGTTACCTTGTACAAATCATTGTGCAATCAATTTCGCGGAAGCACCCTTCAGCGGATATTAGATGCATTGTGCCATTAAACAAAATATTCGACCAAGGACGCAAGCGAGCGCTTGAAAATCAGATTACAAGTATATAACGCGACCTTGCGTGGGGTGGGCCCGCCGCCTGTTGCATTTAATGCGTCGTCCACTTCTGACGATTGCCTCTTGCGAATTTTCATTTTCCAACGTAAAAAATGTACGATGTCCTCTCCACTTATTGACACATTGACATTTATTAGCTACATGCAAACTATTAGTTTTGCGACTGCATCGAATTAAATTATAGTTACATCCTTTTACAGGATTCTGTAAAACAGCGGTACATCATAAAATTTTCTCGTAAAAATGTCACATCAGATTTTAATTATATTACATCCTTACATTAATTAATGATGTTGGTCAAATAAACACATATGTCTCTATACATAAATTTTCCCTTTTCTTAATCATTTATAAATTCGTTTCACTATAAAAAGCCTGAAAAACGTTGGAAAACAATGACTTTTATTATCATAATCACTATTATAATATAAAATTCATTATTATAATAGCGTTAATTTTTAACAGCGATTTTTTAGCCTTGAAAATGAGGACATGCAATGATATAAGTACGCGTTTAATCGCGAATGCGTATTCTCTTGTAACATTATGCAAGCGCACAAATCGACTGATTCCCGTAACTATTCGGCACGGCCTGGTATTTAAACCTATTTCCGGTGTTTAACGAAAGCCGATTATGAAGTAAGGAGTGGAAATTTAATGAAAACAAGAAACCGAAGACGGCGTACTTGGATCGAACGAGCAACAGCTCGCTGGAGCGAAAGTGTTGTTCAATCGGAGCGAATAAACGAGCGGGGGTGTTTGTTTACAAGACGCAAGGACGAATCGCAGTTCCGACGTACGTTGGTGCAACGCCGTTTCTTTGGACGTCGCGACTCGAGAGATCGATCGACGCGATCCTCCTGATCACCCTAGTCCGGAATATTTATTTCGAAAAAAAAATTCATTTGTCTATATATTTAGTCTTTTCTTTCTTATTGTATAGTAAAAGTTTTAGAAGTTGAGAAAGCTCTTCGTAATTATACGCTCATTATAATCTTAGAGATTTAAAGAATATTAAAAAATATATAATATTGTACTATATTCCAGAGAAAACTAAATCAAATTCTAAGAAGAAACGTCCGGCTAATCGATAAAAATGTGCTGCATGACAGAAGGAATTTTAGAATTTTTATTAGAGAACTCCATTTTATAAAGAATCGATCTCTTTTCGGATCTATTGATTCAATAAATGTACTTACATTGACTAGTATTTGTAGCGCCTCTACATAGGAGCGTTCCGTATCGTAAAGCTCCACAACCACATGAGTCCTCGTATCCTGCAATGCAAAAAAGACAATCAGAAAAGATGAGCGGCATTATAATATGAGGAAAGAAAACCGTTTGACCGAGATGGAGAAAGGGAGGGAGCTTAGGCGACCGAGTCACAGCTCGATTATTGCATCGTCTCGTGATGAAGATCGCACGTGTGCTTATGAAAGATGTACACGTGCGATGCTTCACGTGCGTATGTATAATACGAAGCGTTTGATTATGGTCGTTATGCAACATGGACGACGAGCTGCAAGATGTTGAGACGTGTATCGACATTGTGATGCACGCCGGCATCAAGATTCTGTTGTACCTTAACCCTGGATGACTAATATATGACGTAATGGACGTGCTTTCAATTCGCCATAAAATCCGTCACTTTTTCTAAAGGATTTTTTATCTTCAAAATTATTAGATCTCCTCATTTTTTATATTTAATTTTTTTCCTGTGTTTTTTTTCTCACTTTCTTGATTTGCAAATAAAGATATATATTATAAATATTTTTATCATAGGGGAGAGGAGGCTACCTTGTGACACAGGCAACAGTGTTACATTGCGATTATTTTGCGATGTGTACGTTTTATGTGCAATTTTATCTGTGGTTATGCTTTATTTATGTGTAACTGAGATCATATTAATCTAAAAGAGGGATTAACACAAGAAGTAAAAAAAATACAGGTAAGAATCTCTTTCGACCATACTTAAAAAAATATTTTGTCTCCTAAACTTTTTGTAATATTTATCGCTACGGTGCGTATAACCTAAGTATGTACGCATGTATTTGTAGGTTAGTTCGTTGCAAAACGTATTATATGCATTATAAAACAATTATAAGTCATTAAATATATAAATTTTGCAATAAATGTGTCCAGTGTTGTGTGGGGTACCTTGTGACATAGGCTAGACATACAGCAAATAGGTTATAGCGTGATCTATATGTGTGGTCTATTTTGGTATTCTGCAGATTATAAGAAAATTGAATGTCTTTTCAAGATGGACAAAACTTCAAATGCAAAAGAAAAAAACCAAAACTAGCAGAGCTAAGGTGGACGAGGCGACAATGAAAGCTGCGGTGTTTCAAGTCGTCAAAGGAAATCAAAGCATTCGAAGCACAGCAAAATCTTTCAATATCAATCACATGACACTGAGTCGCTGGGTCACTAAATATAAAGAGGCCACGGACGAGCATAAACTTACTATGAAATTTGTCAATTGTCACATAGTACCCTTCTGCCTGTCACACAATACCCCATCAGTTGGGTAAAGTGTGACATTTTCCATATTTTCATTACATTAAGTTATTTACAGATTACAATATTTTTTTATTCATACTAATACGTCTATTTCATTCCTAAAGGTTCAATATAAATGCCAATAAAGTTATTTTTTACAAATTCCACGCTAAAAACAAAAATTTATTGCTCCGAAAAAAAAGTGTCACAAGGTAGCCTGGTCTCCCCTATATATATATATTTTTTTTTTCCCCACTAAAACACGTTGCGTAATTCTGAATAAAAAGAAAAGAACTAAGTAAATAATAAATAAGAAGAGATCTGACCTATCTGACATTTGCGCCACTTATGATTAGTTTAGTTACTTTTGCAAAAGTTTACCCAACGCTTACTTAAAATGCTCAGAAAGCTTTTTCATTCAGAATTAACCGTGCTCAGTCTATAAACATCAAAAACAAGAACTACCCACGCGCTCGGAGGTGACGCGTTCGTTATTCTCGCTGTCCACCGATGACGTACTGACGAGCTTGCGATCAGCGTCCATTGTCATCCACGTAGGCCACCTGTACTGAGATTTCGTCAGCATTGATGTCCTCCAATCGCATAGTAATCCGATCGATCGCGCGGAAATGGCGTATAGTTTCGCAATCTCCCGAAACCGATGCACTGTGAGAAGCGCGCGCGTGTCCGACTGTAGAGTATGCACTTGCGTCTCGCGCGTTTCCGGTCTCTCACTTTAATCTATTCCGCTTGGCGGAAACGAGGTGAAACCAAAGTAGAGCTCTTAAGCTTCCGTACGTAAAAGCTGCTCTCAAACGTTTTATTCTTGGACTCTTCCCATGAGCTTCAAGTCGATCGCGCCCAAATACTTCACGACTCGGTAAACTACATCGATAAAGCAGCAATTAGTATCTCGATACAGGAACAATTACAATTTGTATTTTTAAATTTTATGATTCTCGTAAATTTTATACAAAATAAAATATAACTTTTACTGCGTATTTCATTAGCATACATCTTTAATTTAAATTGTTAATGTAATCTCCCAGAAAACTATTGTTATAAAAAAATATGACTGTAATCCAAACAAATATCGATCATCGCGAGTGACTAACATTGCAAGTTTATATAAACCGCATGTATATATTTGTGTTCCTTCAATCCTTATATTTCTATACTTCTTCATTTTCAGCATAAAACTTCCGAGGTAATTAATAACTTCCATCCACACAAAAGTTTCCAAGAAACCAATGCAAATATTCAAATAAAAACAGACCTATTCATGTTCTCAATCTGTATATCGATCGCCACGATACTCTTTGAAAAATTCTTTCTCGAGTATCATTCTTTCCTTTTTAATACAACAATTCTAAAGTAGATGATTTTCGCGAGATTTATAACAGTGTCTATTTCCAGGGAAAACTAATATTAAATGAGAAAACAATATACACTTTGAATTTTAGCATTGATCACCGCGTACGATCGGTAAAGCGTAAGTTGCGCAAGTTCCGGCTCGAAGTAAAATGGAAAAGAGAGCTGACTGTCGATCGACGCTCGTGCGTCGTACTTATCTGAAACCGGCGCGCGTGTCAGAGAGAAAAAAAAAGAGCCGTGTCTCTCGGCGTGTCTGCGCTCCTACTCACGACACGCTCGTGAACAGCGCCTCTTTAAAAGCTCGTGGAAATTTGCATGCGGAGCTTTCGCGCCTCTGGACGATCGCGCGTCGAACGCGTCGTGTACGAACGAACCGACCAGTCGCCTGTTATATTTAGCAACCGTGACTACAAAGACCACCCGCTTCGTCCCGTGAGCTTGCAAGCTCATCCGCGGCGCTCTTTCTGTCCCTCTCCCTTTTTTTCACGCTCCATCAGTCTTTCTTCGTTCCATGGGGTCGCGCCCGGTTACGGAATCGATAGTGATCCCTTGATCACGTTGTACGAGTATAATGATCCGTTGTGCGATCGCTTAATTACGCGAGTTTTCTTCGCTAATTAGTCGCGGAGTTATATCACAAACGTTCGGCGTCTATCTACCGTGTATGTAAGTAGCCTTCACCTTGGTATCACGGAGAAAGTGCGTAACTCAAGATTTTTTCAAACAGAAAAACTATATATGAGCTCTCTGCGGGATAAATGCTTCTTCTTCTGCACATAACTTGTAGTATTTATTAAAATTTTAAATGAAAAAATGTTTTGCGCCTTCATATATTCCACCCGTAAAGAAAACAAATTATCTAATAACGCGTTGACAGTCGCAATTGACTTTCTTACGTGACTGTAATTCTATTATGTAAACTGATAGTCTATTACGCAAGCACTTAGTTTTATACTATTATATATCAAATACTTTTACTTCGCCAGTGAGTAGTGAAATTACAAAAATCCTTTGCTACGACCAAACTGGCTAATATTTATTTAACAAGCACAACGCGTTTCAACCGAGATTCCGGTCCTTCTTAAGTGCGTACAATAAATTAACGCTTGCAAAACACTTCATTATACACAATGTGGCAGCAATGAGCCTACAAAATGTTTTGTGTGTCAAAGGCGATAGAAGATATTCGAGTCGTAACGTATTTAACAGACGTGAAATTCGGTGGTGCGTTCACTATGGCTGCAGTCCACTTGACGCTACAAATGCTTTGAAGCGTTCTTCTTCTCCTTCTTTCTTTATTGAAAGAAAGGAGAAGAGCAATGCTTCGAAGCATTTGTAGCATCAAATGAACCGCAGCCTATAGGTGACGACAGACGACTGTCGTCACCTATAGTGAACGCACCACCGAATTTCACGTCTGTTATATATGTTACGACTCGAATATCTTTTATCGCCTTTGACACACAAAACATTTCGTAGACTCATTGCTGCCACATTGCGTATAATGAAGTGTTTTGCAAGCGTTAATTTATTGTACGCACTTGAGAAGGACCGGAATCTCGGTTGAAACGCGTTGTGCTTGTTAAATAAATATTAGCCAGTTTGGTCGCAGCAAAGGATTTTTGTAATTTATACTATTATGCTTACGCAAGACAAATACGCCAGATAAAAGTTTGTTAATCAATTTTTTCGTGGCAATTACACGTTATAATACTTGAAAGATTACAGTTTCGCGAAGTTATGCTTTCTAGTTGGAATAAAATATGTGGTTAATACCATTGATAATCATTTTTAAAGGGATAAATTGTGGACCATCTGTTTGTCTCGTTATTACGAGAAAGATTGATCAACAACACGTAACTTTGATAAACAACACGTAACTTTAAATAGATTTAAGAAATAGATCCATGCGATCGGGCGGAATTCGTGGTGATTCATTTGCGAAGTCTCGAGTTGATTCGACAAGGTCAGGAAGAGATATTCGCGTGGCGTAGACGTGATATCGAGAAGAGGAAACGCACATTTCCTGATACTGGAACGTGTTAAAAAAGAGAAATTATGACATTCTTGATCCTGACATTCAGACGTGTCGTTTCAGCAATTCTTCGATTTGACTTGCGCGACGAATTTTAATTTACTTTCAAAGAAATGTACATCACACTGGAGCAGCACGAGAAATCTTGATGCAAACACAAAAAATAAAAGAAAAATGTCTTAAAATACGCGAAAGATTAAATTAAGTCTTGCCCGACAAAGGACCAGAGCTGGATTTTCAAGCGTAGCTTTCCAGTGGCACAAAGTGATCGACATTATTCGATTAGCTCGTAGAAACGCGCACGAAATAATTAAGAGTTTCTCTCAGCCATGCTCAACAACTGCAGAGAAAAATCATTATGTTGCA